TAACGTCAGTGTGAATTTTCCCAATGACCATTTCACTTGAAGAGAGTTTTTCTCTTATAAAAGGGTGCTTCACCTCAATGTGTTTAGACCTTTTATGATAGACAGGGTTCTTACTTAACAATAAAGTACTTTGACTATCAGTAAATATAACAGGTGAAGCCATATACATTTTTTAACACATTCAGTAATAGCCACATATTCAGCTTTAGTACTGGATAAAGTGACAATGGGTTAAAGATGAGACTTCGAGGTGATACAATTATCACCAAGTGTAGAGAAATAAGCAGTGGTAGATTTTCTTTGATCCTTATCTCTAGCAAAATCAGAATTCACGTATCCCTTAAGGGTTAATGGTTTTGATCCCTTTTTGAACACTGAAACTACCCTTGGTGTCCCAACTATATGCCGTAATAACCATTTTAACCCAAACCAATGTGGTTTCTCAAGGTTAGCCATAAACCTGCTTAAAAAACTAATTGAATATGCTAGATTAGGTCTAGTTGTGTTCATAGAAAACATTACTGATCCTATTGCATGTAAGGAATATTTTTCATGTCTCTAACTTCAGATTCAGTTTTAGGACATTGGGCCTAGGAGAGATTTATGTGAGCGACAAGTGGAACGTCAATAGACTTTGCCTCTTTCATGCCAAGTTTTGATATCACTTTATGTAGGTAAGATTCTTGAGTTATTGTTAACCTGTCTTCTTGTCTATTTCTAGTTCTCACCATTCCCAGTATTTTCTTGCATTCCCTAAGTCTTTCATTTCAAATTCTGATTTTAGGAGGTTTTTCATTCTCATTATTTCAACCTTACTTGAGCTGGCCAGCAGCATATCATCTATATACAAGAGTAGATACATCTCGTTGCTAGGTTTAGAGTTGTATTAATATAAGCAATGATCATACTCACTTCTCCTAAAACCAATTTTCACAACTATGTGTCAAACCAGACATACCACTATCTTGGACTTTGTTTGAGCCCATATAGGGATTTTTTCAATTTACAAATGTAGTCAGATTTTCCCTTTTCCTCAAAATCTTGAGGTTGACACATATAAATTCATCATCCAATTTCCCATGCAAAAAGGCGGTTTTGACATCTAATTGTTCAAGTTTCCAATTAAACTGAATAACTAGAGCAAGCATTAGCCTTATAGTTTTATATTTGATTACCGGTAAAAAAAATTCATCGTAATCAATTCCCTCCCTTTGGTTGAATCCCTTGGCCACTAACCTTGCCTTATACCTCAAAGGGTCAGTGGGAGAGATGCCTTCTTTGAGTTTATAGATCCACTTGCATTGGACCACTCTCTGATTCTTTGGTTTCTTAACAAGTTTCCATGTTTTATTGTCAATCAAAAATTTCATTTCTTCTCTCATAGCCTCTCTCCAATTCTGAGACGTAGAACTATTAATAGCTTCTTCATAAGATAAGGGTTCAGCATATTCTAAATTTTCACCAGTGATAAGGGCAAAGTCAGTCAGAGTATCAGTTTCATATTTGGGATTAGGCTTGATCTGTCTCCTTTCCCTGTCTCTCACTAATTGATAATCTTGGGTACTGATTTCATTTACAGGATTATCATGTGTTACAATTTCAGTTTCAGTTTCAGTTTGGGATGGTGTAACTTCACCTCTAACTATGTTATATGCCCCTTTATTAGGCTATTCATGTCTAGGTTCAGTTATTTCAGTAGAATTGTGACTCAATCTTGCCAACTTTACCTCATTCTGTGAAGTGCTATTTTCAATTGCATCTTGTTTATCCCTTTTATTCTTCAAGCATGGCATTTTAGATTCATAAAACACTACATTTCTACTGTTAACGATCTTAATACCCTTCTCACCTAGTACCCATAACATGTAACCTTTAACTCCTTTAGGGTATCCCAGTATAACACATTTGGTAACCCTGGGGTCTAACTTCCCTTCAACCTGATGTGCATATGCAGAGCATCCGAAGACCTTGATGTTTGACAGATTAGGTGGTTTTCCAGTCCACAGTTCTTAAGGGGTTTTAAACTTTATAGAACTGCACAGGGTGACCTGTTTATAAGATAGGCTGTGGTGCATAAAGCTTCTGCCTAAAATCCTTTTGCTAAACCAGAACTTATCAGCATACATCTAACTTTATGCCTTACCTTAAGCCTTTAATGGCTCTAATACTAGATTTGTAGGGTATTCTTTTTTACCTAAAATCGAGATCAACACAAACAACACAAATGCAAAGTACAAGAAAAATAAAGGAACACAGAAAAATGTTCACCCAATTCGGCCCAAATGGCTTAATCTGGAGGGCTCAGGGTCAGCCCAATTCACTAGTGCAATTCTACTTCCCAAAGAGAGTAAAGTACATAGAACCAAAGAAAACAACTAGATCAATCATCGATCCAAACGTATCTCAGATCTTGACATAGAAAGTCTCCTTCCTCAAGAATGGCCACTAACTCAAAACTACAACAGATCACCTACCAAACCTACCTATCAGTTACTATAACACAATGAATTTACAAGAATCACACAGGAGTAATACGCTCCAGATTCAAAAGCCAAGAAGAAAGAAGAAGAAAAATCTTCAAAAAAGAGAGAGAAAATCGAGAGACCAAAAGGCAGTAAACTGAGGAGACTTTCTTCCCACTGAATACACTAGAAGCCAAGAGATAATAGTGTTGGTAGATCTCCACCGTTCAAGTGATCTAACGATCCATACAAGGCCAAAAGAAACACAAATCCAAGTAACAAAAAGGGACGAATTAGAAGCTGCCACGTAAAATCTACAACTTAAGTGCCAAAATGTCTAGAAGAGCCTCACATAAGTTGCAATTTGGAGAAACACGTTTTCTCCATCACTTACTAAACGCATTAAGTCCTGTCTAATAAAAATTCTATCGAACTCATATTTTTTCAAAATCTTTGTAAATAACGCATTCTTCAAAATAATAATAATAATAATAATAATAATAATAATAATAATAATA